CGGAAAAGCCCCCGGCCCTATAGGAAAAACCCCCAAAAAAAAAAAAAAAAAAAAAAAAAAAAGAAGGTCAAACTATGAAAGAGAAGTATTATAAGTCCCCACTTATATATACTTGTATATACTGAATGTCTACATTCTATAACAAAAACTGAAAGATTGGAAGGTATAAACACATAGAGAACAAATACAAATACTAGAAACAGTATGGGAAGAAGGTGGACAATGGGTGGGGAGGTAGAAGGGAGGGAATCTAGGGAACTTAAAAAAAAAAGAACCAAAACATTTAATGAAACACAAAAATAGAAAATTATCTGCTGGTGATAATATACATGGTAATATCTTTGACTGGACAACCATGCAGTGCATTCATGCTGGAAAAAATATTTTGTATGCTGTAAAGATGTATAGTGATTGAATATAAAAAATAAGAAAATAGTAAGGAGAAAAATGAGTTGTTCCTTCCAAAGATGATCATGAATTATTTAAAATAATTATGAATACACGTGGGACCAGCAGAAGGTATAATGGTGACATCGCTGAACTCCCACATAGTCAACTGCGGTTCAAGTCCCAGACCCAGCGGCTTAAAACTCACGCCGGGTGCATGTGCATGCCCAAAATCCCAAGAGGTGAATAGAGAAGAAGGGACTGTGGCATGGCTAACCTCCCTGGGGGAGTGATTTCTCACTTTGTCTCTCTGGCAAGCACACAAGCCCTATAGCAAAAACCTCTCTTTAAAAACAATAATTACGAACACATGTATTTAAACATTCTTGGTAAGTTTCAATATATTTCAGTTACTGGTGGTCAAGTCCTATCTTTAGCCAGTGGGAACTTCTTTGAGTTACCTCCTGATTCCTTTTTTTTTTTTTTTGGAGAGGTTTTCACTATAGGGCACGTGTACTCGCCAGACAGACAGAGAGAGACAGAGACAGAAAGCGAGAAATAACCCCCCAGAGGGGGTGGTCACGCCACAATCCCTTCTCCTCCATTCTCCTCTCGGGATCTTGGGCACGCACGCACACGCGCCCGGCGTGAGTTTTAAGCCACCGGGTCCGGGACGTGAACCGCGGTCGACTACGTGGGAGTCCAGTGACATAGCCATTACGCTAACTGCTGGTTCCCACCTCCTGATTCCTTTTAACACCAAGTACTAAATCAAATCTTCCTTGCTTTCTTGTATGACAAGGCATGCCAGACAAATTTTGGACACTCTTTGCCCCACATCCGGAATCAGTCTATTCATCAAGAAGCCCTGCTTCTTTAAAGTAAAGCTGTTCATTAGAAAATGCATTGTAATGGGACCAGCAGTTAGCGTAATGGCTATGTCGCTGGACTCCCACGTAGTCGACCGTTTGAGTCCCAGACCCAGTGGCTTAAAAAACTCACGCCAGGCGCGTGTGCGTGCGTGCCCAAGATCCCGGGAGGAGAATGGAGAAGGGACTGCGGCATGGCCATCCCCTCTGGGGGGTGATTTCTCGCTTTCTATCTCTCTGTCTCTCTCTGTCTGTCTGGTGAGCGCACGCGCCCTATAGCAAAAACCTCTCCAAAAGAGGGGGGAGAAAAAAAAGAAAATGCATTGTAATTACCAAAGTACAATCTCAGTGCGAACCTGTAAACTGTCATAATGAAGATATTATGTGAATGATTAAGCGCACATATAAGTACTTTATAAATACTAATTATTAATTTAATGACTAACCTTTTCAAAGTGATGAATTGCGAGCCAAATCTCCCCTTGTGCATTGAAAACACAGCCAAGATTACTCCAAGCTACTGCAAAGTTCGGTTGCGTCTCAATTGCTTTCAAATAACATGCCTTAGGAGGGGTTAATGAAAGAAGATGGGAGGGGAAGGAGGTAAAGGGAAAGGGGAAAATTTGTAAAGGGAAAAAAAAAAGATTGGGGGGGGGAAGAAGGTGATATCATTATTCCTTCTCGGGGGGAAAGAAGGTGATATCATTATTCCTTCTCTGCCCAGCCAAAAGTGACCCTGCAGCATAGGCTCGCTTGCGCCAAAACTAATGCGCTGCCACAGCTGGCTGCTCCTGCGCCTGCGCCACCAAAACCCAAGTGCAAACCACCATGTTCAGTTCTGTCAACCAGAGACCAACCCTTATACTGGGACTTATCTGGGAAGTCTGTTACTACAAGACCCTATGGTAGACTTCTCTAATCCTAACACCTAAGAGCTCCTGTTATGTTTTCAACTGTTATCTAGAGGGCACCACTTAAGGCCAACTTTTCCTACCCCTTCCGATTCCCAAAGTGTGTTCTACCAGGTAGCGCTGTGGGGAAGAAAAAAAAAAAAAAGTGGGGTGAAAAAAAAAAAAAAAAAAAAAAAAAAAAGAATTTCACGATCGAGTAAATTAGAAAAACAGAGAAAAACAAAGTTTCTTTACTACAGTACTTTCCTAGGCCTTTAATAGTATTACTAGTAGGTTTGTAGTCCCTGAGCTTAGTTGACCATGGAACTCTTCTTTCATTGGGCATTTTATTAGAAACACATTTTTGGGAAAAGCTACTCTTAACAACAATGTTCCTTACTAACATCAAAACTAAGCTAAGAAAAAAAATGTTTTTCTGTCAAATCAGACATCATAAAGCCAGGTTTTAAGTTACATCTTCACAAAGCCCATTCCCCAAGGAGAACCGAAGTTGAAACCTCACATGACAGGACTGCACCTAGGTTGAGGTCCCTGTAATGCGAGCGCAAACATCGCTTGCGCAACCTAACAGCATCGCACTGCGCAATCGCTGCGAACTGCTGCGCTACATAGAACACCCCCAATCGCAGCAAACGGCCAACCAGATCCATTAATCTACTAGACAGGCCCAGAGAGAATATTTGTTTAATGAGATTAGTTGGACTCGAGGTATGTTAAAACCCAATTTTATCCAAAAAGGCTACAGAATAGGACTGAGGGAGCCAGTCAATCAGATTACTCATCTAGTCAACCGTTCACAGGGGCTCATTCGCACGCAATGCGCATTAACGCTGCGCAGCCTTTGCGCTACTGCAGGGTCACAGCGCATCATCAGAAGAGCAGAATGCTGCAATCCAAACAAAGAAGAATAAAGGAAAAAAAATGAACAACAAGAAGAGTTAGAAGCTTTTACTAGTAAATTATCTCTAATAATTTTTAATATCTTAATTAACTTTTACTTATCTTTGACAGAATTGTGGCTATAGTATAAAACATTCTCTTATTTAACTTGCTTGTAAATAAAATTATTTTAAGCTGTTTCTGAAGCCACAAGACAGAAGATTCAGGCATGGAGGCAAATTGTTTGCTGTGGCAGTTACAAACCCGTTACCATATTTCTCATCATGTGACTTTTCGATGCGTTCCTTGCTGGAAGAGGAGGAGGAGGTTGTGTGTCTGCCCTAGATCCAGGCCTCGAGCTCCCTTCAGCGAGGCACCTTACGCATGGAATAGGAGGTTTCACCCACCTGAAACCTTCTAAATACAATATCAATGGTGAAAAACCAAAAACAAGAGAGAAAATAAAAACAAGATCATTAGTAAAAGTTCAACAAAGCAATTGAAATTCTTTGGATGTCTATTACATATGGGAATGAGGACAGTCTCAAGTCTGTAACATGGGAAACATGCAGAAGGGAGAGGGTTAATTGGGGCTATTGCATACAGCAGGGATTTGTGCTGGAAGAAAGGCTCTTCATTTTCTACAAAGACAACTTAATTTTGCTTCCATCTACTAGGAATATGCTGGCTTGAATTTTCAAATGCACTGATTACAAAAGAAATACATTGCATTTCACTCAAGAGTATTTTCTTGTTTACTAAGTTCTCACAAAAAACAGAATAACATTTTTCAAACTAGGTGTCTCCAGAGCTCTGAAATAAAGAAGTCAGCAACCTAAGGCAGGCGCAACGTCTCAGCCTAAACCGATCTCTAAAGCTGCAGTGAAGTGCAATTCATGTTAGCTGTCCGCTTGGTGGGGTGACAATTAATAGGAGCTTATCAAATATTTGTTCTATATATTACCAAATAGAGTTATCAGCTAAGGTTGAAATCAATTACGATTCATTAGCTGGAAACCTACAAAAGGTTCATCCAAAGTGTCAGCAGAATTTATGAGCTACGCACTTAAAACTAGTGCCTTTTATCATCAGATGGTGCTGAAAAGTCTTCTACCTTCCTGGACAAAATAGTCAAACAGACAGCTACGCTGCGCATACACTCCACGCATTAGCATGCGCGTGGGGCTCAGAGCAACAGGTGGGAGTTTCAGAAGCATTCTGGTTTCTCCCCACTCCTCACCCCTGCAGCGCGGTTGCGTAAGGTGGCTTGTAACAAGACAACTGCATTTATAAATTTAGTTTTAAATTATACCAAAAGCTTTAGTTAACCCAACCTGATATTCAAATTCATTATTTGGAAACACAGAATGCTAAAAGCCACCTTTCCACTTTGGCAAGTTTTCTTTCGATCAGTCCATTTCCCAAACAAACCAGCTTTGTCTTTCTGACTTTTTTTTTTTTTTTTTTTTTTTTAAGGAGGTAGGGTGTGGAGGAGTAAAGAAGGAACTGAGGAAGAAAAGAAGGTAGACAACTAGGATTGGTAAAGAGGAAAACGGAACATAGGAAAAAGGAACTTGGGGAAGGAGTGGAGACAAGAAGGGGCAGGATATTCCAATTATAATTTGCAATCATTTTAACAGCCTTTCTTCCACTGTAAAAAGGGTGAGGAACATGAAGGGAGGAAGGTTAAATAAGAATTTTAAATGCCAGTATTACAGGGTAACATTTGGATGAAATTCTTCTCCACTTACAAGCCACAAAGGACTTAGAAGAGCAGCATTTTCAATGGCACCTGCATCATATAGGAGTCTTGAGCCAAATGACAGGCGCTCTGCTCTGCTTGTCACCAGCAGGCAAGCCTCAGATTTGAAGGAATGTTACTTATTCCCACATAAGATCATGGCGGAGCCCATTGTTATAAAGATGATCTAGCTCGGCAGAAAGGCTCCAAAATGTTCAGGTTCTTGCTTTACCCCCAGATTTAGAACAGATATGCCAAATCCTGGCCCTGCTCTAGTCTGAGGCGATTCATGCTGTCAGTTTTCCTCAGTTTCATAGGACTGTTTTGTGAAGATAGCTCAATGAAGAGTTGAAGACTTGGCAAAAGTACAAGTTCTCGTAACACTGATGTTTAAATGTGTCCTATCAAACACCTACCTTGGCTTCTTCCAAGCGACCCAGGGCTTTGAGCAGGTTCCCCAGGTCACTGCGAACACAGTACAAATCCTAGAAACCCAGAGATACTCTGTCATTAATTATATTCTGCTTCGTCATTCAAAAATATCTTGAAATCACTTTTATGCATCTAGATCACGGTCATTTTATTCTGTCAATTGAAGATACCACTTTACAAATTTAAGTCCAAGTTGTGATCCATTCATCTCAATTCCAAGAAGTTGCAAAAACTCATTTGATGGGTTAAACCTGACCTGAACTGACATGAAACTATTTACAGAATGTACTCATTTTACTTAGTGTGACTACTACTACCTTTCGCTACAGAAACTTAAAGTGTGTTTTACCGTGAGGTATTGCTCTAGAACTGACTGGGCTTTTTATATATGGTATTATTTTTCTAAAGTCCTAAAAATTCTAAATTTTGAAATGCATTTAGTCTTACCAGTCTCAGATAAAAGGCTATAAGACCTTACCAGAGTTTTTCCCCTCCCAAAATGTCAGTCCTGTCAAACACACACTTGTTCAGGGCTGGCTGGTGGTGTGATGGTTAAGGCCCTCGACTCCCACATAGCCAACCACGGTTCGAATCCTGGACTTAGTGGCTTGCTTTCTCACTTTCCCTTTCCCTTTCTCTCCCGTCCAATTAAAAAATTAATAATAGGGGCCAAGAGGTGGTGTGGTGATTAAGGGCACTGGACTCCCATGTGGCTGACCACAGTTGGAGTCCAGATCTGGCTGCTTGTTTTCTCACTTTCCCCCTCTCTCTTTCTCATTCTGTCCCTCTCTGGTCAAACTTTAAAAAAATAAATAAAGGTAAATAAAATAATTCTTTGGGGAAAAAATAATAAACTAAATAAATCTTTTAAAAAATACATTTGTTCAACTCTTTTATTCAAGGATCAGATGAATCACTCCTACATCAAGAACCAAAATTTTTCCATAATGGCAAAAAAGTATTCAGCAAGTGATCACCTACCAGCACACCTATCCTTAGGCTGTCAGGAATATTTAGAAACCCTGACTTCATTTCACTATCATGCAGAAGAATTACTATCCAACCAAAGCCTCAATCCTGGCACCTGCTGGCTAGATTAAGCATTAGTATTAAGTGCCATTAGAGTTGAGGGGGTGAATAACAAAAAGCAGTCTACTTTGCTTTTTTATTAGCAGCTCAATTGTGCTGCTAGTCATCTGACTCACAGTCCATTCATCAATATGAGACAATCATCAGCATAGTGAGTGAGCATCAATTTTTATTTGCCCTATTTTGCCTTTCTCAGTCAAATCTATCATTCAATAAACTGAGACAATAGCAACAGGGGCTATGTTTATCATTTTAAACTTCTCAGTGAATGAAAGAGTCTTAAATTAAGCCCTAGAAACCAAAATTTTGTCAACTGTGACAAAGAATCATTATACGTATTATTTTCCCTGCAACTGTACTATGGTTTCCAGAATTCACCGATTAATTTTTACCAATAAAGACCTTTTGTGATTGTACCTTATCACCCATCAGGTGAACCAAAAACTCTGCCAATAAAGTATAATGTGTCACAGAACACTCAAGGTTGGCCATACTGGGTCAATTCCATAAAATCTTCCTGACTCAATACCATTCTCAAACAATGACTGATGTTTTGGGAGAGTATGGATGTCTCCCATGACCTCATGTACAAAAGGTTAATACTAATTAATCCTCAAAACATCACAGGTACCATTAATCTTATTATAGAATTATCCTCCTCTAATTAGTCTAAGCACTTTTTAACCCTATACATACTTCCAGAAGTAATGAATTCTATGATCTGCTGTCTGCTTTGTATTTTTCTCCCCAAAACTTTTGAGTCATGCCTATTTTGGCAGACTATGGACTAAAATAATCCAATCTATCCATACAAGTTCCTTCTACTAACTGGTAATTGGGGTTATACATCTTTTTCCATTTACCAACTCCTATGCCTTTTCTAGGCCAATAACCGTAATGGTTATCTATTTTAGCCAACTACTGCATAATTTTACACTCTTGTTTCTATAAACTCTTGCAATGAATGCCATCCAAGTCCTGACAGTGTTATCTATATATACTTA